CAGCTGTATAGAATTCATCACAACACTGAAACTCCATCTCCTTTGCCTAGTTTCAACTTCTGTCATAAATCAGCATTCATTCATTAGTGTTTGCTAAACATCATGCCTTTTGTTATAAATCTTGGCGCAAGTTTATATGTATGCCAGTAGATTTATATTTGTATAATCTCATCTGGCTAAGACTCGTTGCTCTTTGTTTGAACATGCAGGTTCCAGCCTTCATGCAGAGGTTTTACCAGAATTAGTCTGAAGCCAAGCTCCAAGAAAATTTCAGGGCCTGGCAGACCCTGTGAAACAAAGGTTTGAAAAATGGTTTGTACAAAGTCCCAGGAACAGAATCTGTAATATTTCACCTCTATTTACCATGTTGCTGGGATGGGGCTGAAACCAGAATCTTGGACCCCACTGTCCCAAACCTTGGAGAAGGTCATATTCATTAAAAGTTTGATATAGCACTCCAAACCAAAATCTGACCACTAATAGCTGTTTTTGACAAAACGTCTCTCTCAAAAAATGCTGTTTTGTTGGATCTAAGACATTTTGCAAGAATGTTCTGATTTCAAGGAAATTTTAAAGGAGAAAGAAAGTGAGCATAGTATTTCAATAATGTCAGAATTATTTGCTTTGATTTTTTTTTCTAAGTACTTATATTTCATGGTCAGTATTTTATAACATTTATACTATAATATAACATTTATACTATAATAGAGTTACAGTGACTACTCTGGCATTTTCAAAATACTTAGCTCAGGCAAAATTTTGACCTTAACACTGCTGTAAAAAAGGGAAAACACAAGTACATACCTAAGCAAAATGAGATAAAGACAATTTCAACACAGGCCTGGAATTCAGTTTATCCATATGGAATGCAACACAGGCACAGAACTCCACTGACTTCAGCAGAGGTTATCAGGGCTGACGTTGCATGGGATTATGCTGCACATTTGATTAAATAAGCTTATTGATGCTCAAAGGAGGCTATAGGCAGGTTCATACCTCACCTGGGAAAACTGCAGGCTTTGGTCTTGCTTCTCAGCCGGTAGTTGTCCTCTTTCAAGTCCTCTGTCACAGACAATCTGAAACACAGACGATTTTTCACTTTGTAACAGAGAAGTGCTTTTACACATTTAGCTCTGGTCTCTTTCCACACCCGAGACAGCCTGGGTCTGTGCTGGCAGCAGTCACTCTCTGCGTACTTCTGCATCATCACAGCAGCATCGAGGCGTGTGGCACTGCTGCATCTGGGCCTCCGGGAGTATCTTTCACTTCTCCTCTAAAATCTACTTTGGAAAGGGAAGATGCAGACAGGAGACCCAACCGCTTGCTCTTGTCTTGTCTGCATTTACATGAGGAATGAGTTCCTCTCTGGTCATGCTGACTTAACCACCGCTGGCAGAGCAGAAGAAAGGAGAGGCTATGAAAGAGAGGCATTAGCCTTGGCTGGTATCAAGCCATTACCACCACTGTCTCCCATAGCTGTTCAGGCAGCGTAAATGCCCAAGGTTCAGCTTGACCCAGGACATCAACTGTCCTCCCTGCTTAGGGCTGGGAGGGGGCTTCGAGACAATCAGCAGAGAAGCACAGGACAGTGACAGTGTGGACAACAGATGGCCCATGAACAAAGCCAATGTGTAGTGTAGTTCAGATGCACTGATCTGACTGCAGAATCAAAGCCTTGCTGGCTTTAGTCCTTTTCAGAAATGGTTTCCTGTAATATATAGATCCTTTTTCTGGTCTTTAAATATTCTCAGTACTAGAACCACATACAGTTCAAAATATCAATACGTACCTGCTAGTTTATATGGAAAACGTGTCTGATTTTGTTTATGTTTGGCAAAAAAAGAGTTAATGCCTGATGATGAATTCTTTGTGCTAGGAAGCTCTTGGATTGTGCCACTATCACTGCCAGCCTAGGTGGAAAACTTCAGGTACTCTTTCTGTTTATAAGAAGAATCATTAAAAAGATTATTCTCTTCCTCTGCAGCGTGTACATTTTTATCTCTTTTACTGAAAGTTCTGCAAAGACATCCATGTTCTCACAGAAAACAGGCAATTGCCTTTTTGTTTTCCAGGAAGAAATCTGAGAAGACGAGTGAAAGGAATAACTAAATAACATAAAGTGCTGGTCTGATACTGGCCAGAGACTCCTTACTAACAGTAAAACTCTCTTGATCCCTCTTTGCAGAGCACATGGAACAGCCGGTCACTGGCTTTCAGGTAAGACTCAGATATTTCCTTCTTGCAAAATGTTTATGATTTAAACCTTCAGCATAAAATTATATAGATGCATTTCACATAGAAAAGTCAAAGTGAAATTATGGGGAAGCTGAAATTTGATAGACAGAACTTTTCAGTTTTTAAAGGAAATTGCCTAAAGTAGCCATTCATTTCTTTATTTATTTCAATCTCTATTTTTTATTAAATGAAAAGTTTCTCTACAGATACTTCTGCTCTTATAATTTATTCAGTAACAGAGAAGGGAGAAAGAATGACAAGTAATGAAAAGGAAAAAAGGCTGCTTTGTTGAAGCACACAGCAGAACAGAATAAAGACATGAAAGTTCTAAGAATAGCAATGTGTCTACTGGCAGACAGTGATGAAGAAAAAGAGATTTTAAATATACATTGAAAACACATAGATCTGTACAGAACGGAAGTGGTTAACCAAGCCTATTTTTGCAAATACATAGTTATATATTATGCACAATGAGTATTCTCACTTACTTTGTTTGGTGACTGCCTCAATGGAAGTATAACAGGAACTTGAGAATTTGTTTCTTTGTTCAACACATGATGCCAGAAAGACTTTTGAACGGTCTGAAAGATGCTTAGATGTTCAGGCATATTCATGTCCAGTCTCACATTTTATTTGTATGGTATTTCAGGACCATCTAATTGAAGTACCTCACAGGGCTAGTCCTTTATTTTTTTCCCTGAAAAGAAAAATTAAAGGTTATTTGTTATCTATATTTACACATTGCAAGGCATCAAACATACACAACCAGAGGAATTGAGGAGGCATAATCTTTGTATAACTACAAATACATACACAATTAAAGCTATCTTTTAAATCTGATTTTTTTGCTCATGCAAACAATTTACTTATTTAAACGGACCGGACATATTCAGCTTTACCCAATCTAAATACTTGCTTCCTTTCAGTTTAACGTGATTATTAAATGCTTCCCCAAGTTATTCAGAAACTTCTTGGACATAGGGGAAGAGTGAGAGTGAGGAAAGTGATCAGGAATAAACTCTTTTTCATGCAAATCCTAAAAAAACCAAAATAGATCCAAAAATCATATTAAATACTGGAGGTAATGCCAAAACACAGTCAAGTCTTTCAAAATTCTGCATGTCCCATATCAAGTAATGTCAACAGTGCTTGTGGCAATGGTAGATAAATGCCTGAAGCCATCCCCTGTGCAGTCCACTGAATGCAAACTAACAGGTGAAACATATTTAAGGTTTCATGTAGTGGTTTTCACAAAGATTAAAATAAAGCAGATCAAACTACCAAAACTAAATAAAACAACACAAATACCAAGAGCTGGTTGTCAGGACAGAGGCATAAAGTATGCTCTTCCTTACAATTTAATTCATGTATTCCCCACAACAAACATGCAATCTGCATAAAACCAGACATTTTTCTGGCTTTTTTAATTATAGCCACTGAATTAATAAATGCCTTAGTCTTGCTACTGGATCAACAGAAGTTAACCTGCTCTGTGCTTTATTACCTTCTAAGGATATCTCTAAGGAACAAAGTTATATACATGTCAGCTCATTTCCAAACTGGAGGCCTTGTTTTGCAAAACAAACACCAGCTATAGTGATTAAAGAATTAAAATGAGTTTGAAGGTCTTTTCCTTCAGGTAGCTGATCTATATTTTATGTAGAACTGGGGAAATCCCTTGATTCTAATCCCAAAGAAAAAAAAATGTAGTCTAAAATATTTTTTTATATTCAATACATCGTTTTTATTGCAGACAACCATATTTGTACCTAATTCTCTCAACCTCACTATATAATCCACTGAATTTAAATCAACTCATGTAGTGTAATATTTTAAAGCCTTTCTGTATGAAAGGAACACAGAAGTAGAAATCGGGGATCAGACTGCGTCCTTTTAAGAAACAAAACATGTGGGAGTTTCAGGTTTCAGACCAGGTGCTTGAAAAACTGCCTCCCTATATGCCAACTATATTTTCTTTCTTTCAGTCTCACAGGCTTTTTCCAAGCTTAAACATTTGCAGAAAAAAACCCCATACAGACTGCTCAATTCTTAAACTTACTAGGGGCAGTCTTTGATCACCTTTCTGGTCCAGAAACGAACGTAGGTTACCGCCTTCTCCAGTCATATTCATCTACTCCTAGATCTTTGCAAATAAAATTGTATTATTCTTTCAACCAAAACGGAGTAGGGAAGAAGAACAAATTTCCACCTCTGTCTGGGAGACAGAATTAGACAGTTCAGTTCATTATTAAAGAAGGAAACTACGTGTGCGGCCACCAGATGATTCAAAAAATGTTAAGAAATGAAATTAGCTGCTTCTTCTGTGTTGAGCGTAATAGTGTGTCTGAACAAAGCGGCAGACCTACCTGCTCTCAGGTGACTGTACTGCACACTGTCAGAGCTGAGGTGAAACGATATGCGGAGATCACTATTATTCACCACATGAAGGCTGTCTGCCTAATTTGGTCTCAGAAAGACAAGAGACACAAACTGGGTATCAAAGAAACAAGTTCCCTGAATGACTAAAACCAACCCTGTGCCTTTTGTCTCTCAAACACTGCCTTCAAATAATGAAGTTAGAGAACAACAATAATAACTCATAAAATGGCTGCTTCCCTCCAGCAGCTGCCCAAACAGCACTATGGGAATTGTTTGGAAAAAACATCCCCTGGCTCATGTCGCTGGCAGAATCGGCAGCATCCTCACCACTCAAGAGATTGCCTCTTAAAATGCTGGCCCAAACTTTAGGGCCTCCATGAAGGAGAAAGCGTGCTGACTAAGCCCATCCCGTTGAAGAAATGGTTCTGCTGGTGGCTATAGCAGAAGTGCTGTTGGTTCTGGGCCTGGCTGTGGAGTCAGAATCTCTGTGCTCCCCCACTACCTTTTACAAGAACTGCTGGATCCGGCGCTTCCCAGGTCTTCTGATTGACCTGCAGGAGTCACGGAAGAGAGGAGCTCAGGTGCTGAAGATTTATGCAGAAGTCTCACCCCAACAGTGCAGCAGAACCTGCTGCCTTCTGAGCAATGGTGAGTGGCATAAAATTTACATCACAACATAAGAGGAAAAACTCTTTGGGTGATTTCTATATAAATATTCCTTTATTTGAAGAAGGAATAATGAAAAAAAAAACCCAGAATAATATAGTATATGTACTTTTTGAGGCAGGTAAGCAGAGGAACATCATAATTGTTCCCTTAACTTCAGTTCCACAGAAAGGAATTTGACAATCTGAATTTTCTAGAAAACTACACTAGAAACACATGAACATCTTAGGGTCTGCTCTAAAATTTTAGATCTCTGACACAAAGTCTATGGGCAATGCTAACATTAAAACAATAACTCTCATCTACTCCTGTAGAGAAAAAACCAGTAGCACTAATTCCAGCAGGATTTTTCATGGAGTATGGATTAGGACATGGTCAGGTAAAAGAGAAGGAAACAGACAATTTGTCCGTCTCTGAAATACAAGCACATCCATTTTCTTGGAGAAAGCACTCATGTTCTATGTTTATACCATCTCTCTGGCAACCCAAGTACAACGTTAATACGAACAAAAATATTATAGCAATAAATAATAGCAGTGATTCATCTGGCAACCCCTTTACCCTAGCCTTGTAAGCTCAGACTCTGAACAAAAAGAAGAAAATCCACTGCTTGTATTAATCCCAAGACTGTATTTTCTCTGTATCACACTGCATTGATACACTATAAGAGTACAATTTAGGACTGAACATGAAGCGTGTGTCTGTGGTGCCTAAACTTGACTCCAAAACACACAAGACTTGAAAGGTTTTTTGATATGGAGGATGAAAGTGAGATACCAGTTATTAAAACCAGACAGCATACATTTTGATGAAATTTTGAATTATGAGCAAAAAGATGACCTTGACAACCTGAAACTGACATAACTAATGTAACTGCCAGCAGCAATCCTGGGAAGAGTCAACTTCCGTCTTAAATATTGTGAGGAAAGAACAATTACACACACATCAGCAGTGGTTTTGCCCTTTGGAAAACAAAGGTTTTCTCATAAAACACGGGACTGGATACCTTATAGACATGAGTAATGGTAACTTGAAATCTTGTTTTTATAATGTTACCTAGTCAAGCACAACTTTGTTACAAAACTGAAACAGAGATATTAGATGGCATTTCTAAGATATTCCTTAAACCAACTTACAGTTTTCTTAGAAACCCAAAGAGACAGATGCTGCCATTACTACAAATAAGTGTCCTGAAACATCATGAAATGTTGATAAGAAGTTGGATATGAGAATTTTCTTTGCTGTACTCTCAGCAATAACACAGTTACCGAAAGCTAACGTTACAAGATATATAGACATTTTGAAGTAATTTAAAACCAAGGAATTAAGTATGTTGTTTATATCTCCTCAAACCAAAGTGAAATACCTCATAGCATGCTTTTAAACTATTCTCTTGATAAAATAACTATCCTTCCTTACAAAAAATGAATAGGCTTCTGATTTTTCTTACCTGAATTTATGCAATAAAAATCCATCACAGATCAAAGAGACTAAGTTTTTCAGATGAGATTTTTTCCTGCTATTTAATGATATTTTCATAAAACATACAAAGTAATCTTTAAAATGAAAAACATTTATAATTATGCTGTGCTCAAAAACAGTTTCTAATGACAACAGAACTTTGCACAAACTTGGAAAGGTTTCAGAGACTTTATTCCATTCAAACACATGCAGGTATTTTCAGATGTTTTATATATTCTTAAATGAGATAGTCTCTGTATGAGAAATCTGCAGAGTACGCACATATCACACTGAAAAACACACACTGTTAACACAAAACATCCATTCTTTGACAAAAACCATCCTGAACCAAGGGTACTTACTGCTACGTGTGATGCAACTGCAGATAGCTTTCTGTTGGAAGCAAAATCATCGCTGTGAACAAACATCTGAAAATTGTGATTTTTTTCAAACAATTACTTCAATAATACCACACTTAATGCTTGCAGTGTTTAAGAATCCTTAAACAAAAGATACTGCAGAAAAGCAAGTGTACACAGATATTTCACATAAATATTTTAAAAGTTCTCTCTTTTAAACTGTTAAATTATGTGAAAAATTATGCAAAATATTTACTGATGCCTAGGAATATTTCTATACTCATAATTATTTTCTTTAAAATAGACACTGGATTTTAAATTCCTTTATCCATAGAAGCCAATGCTTTTTATATATCACCTGTAGAAATGCCTGTAGTCCTCACAAAATATATCAAAATAATTATGAACTGGCTAAATATACTTCTTTAACACTACAAAATATTTCTAATCCTTTAAAGAAAACTCTAAACCTATTGGTATATAATAAAACCAGAGCCTTCTATAATACTTGTAACCTTATTATTGTCTTCCACAACTTATGTTCTTCTATTGTTTTGATAATCATAACCTTTTTTGTACCAGTCTTACTCTCAGTAAGCATCTACCTAAGCTCAAGTTCCTACGACACAGAACTGGAAGCTGATGAAGCTGAACTGGAGGTAGATATAGGACATAAGAATTATTTCAGTGAAAGAAAAATTGCTGATTATCACCTTTGATTTAGCTCTGATGACAAACTGTATCTCTACCTTTCTATCACTAGAGTCTAGGATATCAGTTTTATTTGTAAATATTACTGTTTTCTTTTCAGCCATTCAGACAACCTTTACCTTTATATGTAAGTATAACAAGCTAAAATACGCAAAAAAAATTGCGTAAAAATTCTGTAACAGCTCTTCTGTCATGACTTTTTCTTCCATAGAGCTGTCAAATTTGTATTGTTCAGTCAGACAAAGTACATTTTCATTGATAATTTTAATTTCATTCATCATATAATTGATTCATTTTTAAAAAAATAATGCTTCTCTCTTAGGGCAGATAAATCAGTTATGGCAGAAGAAAACATTTTCAAGGTGTGTGAAATTACTGTGTAAAATCTATGATGCAGTGTTGAGACTACTAGATGAAAAAACCACAAATATCGAAAAGATAGTAAGCACAGTTTTAGTGTATTTTCTTTGCTCATTTGTAGATAGGTTAGGGCTTTTATTTGTTACATATAAAACGTGTAATGACTTTCTGCATTATTTATTTCAGAAGTATTACAAATTATTTTCATTGCCTACATATGTGTGAAAAATGTTTGGAATAAAACCCTAAGTAAGTAGAATATATTTATAAAAACCTGAGAATACATTTTTAATTGCAGGTAGCCATATTAGTTCAGGTATGGAGGTTACATTCAAGGCAAGCAAAATGAAATAAACAAAAAAAACCCCAAACTTCCTGTGACTAAACCGAAAACTAACATTGATGCTGCTCCAAGAACAGTGATACAATAAAATAAAAATAACTTTTGTCTTGATATTTTGAATTCATATTTTGATGTACTGCAAGACTCTGAAAGAAGAATCTTTCCTGCTGTTTATATAGTGTGACTTTAGCCATAGGTCTTTTAGCCTATATTTTCAATCTGAATCTTAAACCACTAGGATTCACACATGTATATACTTCTGAAAATTGTCTTTCAGTGACAAGTTGTTCAGACATTTTTTTATTATTTATCTATGACTTCCAATATGGGAAGATAAAACCAGGTGCCCAAATATAAATGAAGAATCGTCTAAACTAGTCTATTCCCAGAAATACAATAGCCAAAGGCAAACAAGGAAAACAAATGTCAACTGGCAGCAGGGCAGGATGTCACCTGCTTGTTGTAGTTCCAGGATGGTTTTGTTAATAGTCTGGGTGAAATGAATAGTTGCACTTCAGTTTCATGTAGACAGAGATATTATTCAAGAGCGAACACTTCAAAGTTGATTTCCTCGATAAATTTACTTTTAGAAATCATCTACTCATTGCATCTGAGATTTTAAGGAAGGCAATCGGTAAGAGGACTGCAAGCTAAAGGACATGATTTTATTTAATCAAAAACATATTTTGAATTCAGATAGTTATTCTATTCCTTTTCTCCAGATACAAAAACAAGAATAAAAGTATAAGTAGTTCTACTTTTCTGACTGGATGCTTAATTACTTTTCATGATAATGAGAGAACCACAGATTTAAAGTACTATGGAGTTTCCCAGTATTAATGATCCTCTGATATTAAATAACGTAATAACATGTAAAATGCAATGGTGATGATGCTGATAAGCTCAACTTTATCCTTTTTGTATTACAGTTTCCTGCAATCTAGCAGTGTTCTACTATGGAGCCATTCATGAGAATATGAATTGCCTGCACATGTCTTGCCCAGCATTGGAAAGTTGCATACTAAAGGCTAGAACCAATGTCATTTTGTACAATATCACAACAGGTAATTAAGCATTTCATTTATACAGGCTGAAAACACAGCAGCTATAGAAAATGTCAAAATTATCCTAGCTCACTTGCTGTGCTAGATGATCTTCTGAAGTAACATGTAATTCTGAAAATGTATAAGGCTTTTCTCCTTTTTCATTAATGTACGTACTTCTGAGAATATTTCCCCCCTTTCTTCCATTCGGTATATAAGAAAGGACCTTGAAGATTCATGTTCTGAGTACCTAATCAGTACTTTGCTTGGGGAAGACACCACACTAGATCTGAGAGACTGAGCAATGGGGCTGCCACTGCTCCATGTCCCCAGACCCAACCAGTAACAAGACTGGAAATGTATTCTCATTAGGCACATGCATAAAGAGCACACATACATGCCACAAGGATACCTCTATACCCAGGCAGACACACAAGTAACACAGACAAACACACAAAGCTTGACAAACACGTGAACACAGGGAGCCCCCAGAGGCTCATCCTGCTTTTTGTGGCTGCGTGGTAGGGAGACCTGCTAGTGAAAGAAATATATACACACATATGTACAATGTGAGTCTCCCCGGAGGCTGGGAGACACAGACACACATGCTGCTTGCCAACACTCCCCAGTAGCCTAGATCCCTCCTTTTCCTCACCCTTGGTTCCTTCCCTAAGCAACCCATAGTATATTCTGTGCAATCCCAAAACGCACTTTCCTTGCATCCCATGAGGTGTCCTATAACCCTAGGCAGTCCCATAACTCTAGATGTCCCATAACACTGCCTAGGCAGTGACACTCCCACTCTCAAAAGTGTTAATTAATATTATTGGGCTCTCTGACCCGCCACTGTCTCCGTGAGCTCCTTTTGTGGGTGCGCAGATGAGTTTTATCACAGAAACTACTAACATTTTTTCTGATTTAACAGGGATTGATCCAGACCTCCTTCTTTTTGAAAAATTGACATCCCAAAAACCAAATACTCAGTCCTCAACAAGTAATTACAAAATGCTAAACTGCACTAAGACCACTGAGTTGGAAAGATGTCAATATCACAATGCCACATCAAGTTCTCTTCTGCTCCAAGCTCCATCTTCTACCACTAGCCATGGCTCAACAGCAAACCCTCACACCTCCAGCAAAAGCCTGATGGTTCAAAAAACTGAAGTTACTACTTATTCCAGGGCAGAAACCTTTCCACCCAATGATCGTTTTACTGGGAGGACAAGTACAACTTCAGTAAGCAGGACAATCACCAGCTCAGACAAGAAGACTGTACACTCCACTTTGATACCCAAGTCTGCCAAGGTATTATCCCACATGCCCACTCCTCCTCATCTCAACAGCAGTAAGCAACACTCAAATGAAACCAAAGGCTACAGTGGTAGGAATTATACTTCAGATGAGGCACCTGCTTGGGAAGCTGCAGCGTTGGGTATCTGGTTGATTCCTGTTGTTCTTTGCACTTCTCTAATCTTCCTCTGCTTTTGCACTGTGGCTTTCACAGCAGGACATTGCAGAAATAAGAAAGGTCAGTATAAGCCCATAAGAAGAACAATGCCGAGGCGAATCATAAAATATTCTACCGTCAAAGGTAATTTGTAAAATACTTTGTTTTTGCAACAAATAGTTTTTTAAAAAATGAATCATATATATCAGCTTATTTCTTTTACAGGACCAAAGACAATTTCTTCACTTACAGTTTCAGAATCTTTTGGTTGTAATTTAATTTTTAACAGAGGAAACACTATTTCCTTGTCTCCTTAGGTAAGAAGTATGTACACATTCATAGCTCCCACTGCATGCTCAGAGGTGTTCAAGCACATTTTGGTTTGTAGCCTGACCCAGACTAAGGTCTAACAAACAGTATATATCTGCCCTAACTTAAGAGAGCAGATTCACTGCAGCTATATGTATCCTTGAAACCCTGACTTCAAACTATCCTGAGAAAATTAAGTATAAGTGTAATCAGTAAAACCAACCAAAGTTTAATACTATCATAAAGTCATTTAACTCTAATGATCCTTTGACTCAGATCTCATTATTTCCATAAAAACTGCCAATTTTTCTCCAAGTTCTAGATTTACTTTTTTTCTAATTTAGCTAGCACTCCTCTGAAAAGAAAAACACCATAAATAACTCAATTCCCCAAAACTACTGGGTTCCATTAACTAATAGGCAAACAGTTGATCATTCATTCTTTATGCTTTATTTTTACCCCACTTCTCACTTCACTATTCTGTTAACAATCACTACAAACGTTTTCAAGCCCCTCTAGAAGCTCCTTTAGAGTTCAACTGCTTTTGTAAAGTCCCTTACTCTGCAACACATTGATACATCCATTCTGGTTTTGGCTAAGGAAATCATAAATGCAGCTAATGTTTTTTCATGCCTTGCCATTAGCACCAATCTGCATTGTCCACCTTGACTGGCTTTTTCTTGCCTACTCATATTTGTCATTTACATCATCAGCTTTTTTAAATAGGGACAGTCATTTAATGCATGTTGCACAGGAACACACAAAATGTTTTGAAAGCCCTGTAAGTTAGCTTTATAGTAAAACCCTTTTCTGTTTTCTCATCCTGTATACTCTATTCATAGAAGCGCTTCTCCTGAAAATAAATCAAGAGACTAGATCAACAAGGTAGCAAGACATTTCCTTGCCTTACCTTACTCAGGAAGTTTGCTTTGAAAAGCAAACATTTTCAACAGCAACCAGGATTGTTCTTCCTCCTTTAAACTTGTTGTTGTCTTAGTTTCTCTTTCTACAATTGCTCTAAGAAGTTTTTATTTCCCAGACAAGTGTAAATTATTTAAAAGGAAAAGATAAAAAAATAAAACTGATTGTCATGTCTATGTGATGGAAATTTATTTTAAAACTATTAATTTTCATGCAGTGTTCAAAGACTACAGTGATGGAGTTGTAAAGCCACGTGAATACTTCATTATACTTGAGCAGGCTGGTTTTGGAGGAAAAGTCCTCTCTCAGATTCTATTTTAGCCCCCACTGGTCAGCGCTATAGCTCAGAAAACTGATGTCTGACCTTGTGTGCTAATTTACGTGTAATAAAAGAGACTGACACGATAAGAACATTTTAAAGGAGCAGTGTTATTTAATCAGTTGAAATAACGCAAAAGAAATTCCTTCTATTTTAGCTAGAAAAATAAGAATTGGGTATGATTTGATTTAAGGGTAGTTCTATGCTTATATGTAAAGTGATACACAGTCTAGAGATGTATCCACAGAGTGATGTAACTTAAATTTTGAACAAGTTGATTTTTATCATCAGATTGTACTTTCCTAAATCATCATGTGGCTGAATTCAGTTTAAAAATTTCAGCTAAGAATGATGAGAGCCCAAGGGCTCTTCTGAGTCAGAGGAAGTTGACAGGTATTATTTTCCAGGCTTTTAACAGGAAGGCTTTTTCCAGGCTTTTTAACAGGAAAGGAACTACAAGGAAGGAACTAAGATACTCCATATTTTATCAAAGAATGTATGTGGTGATATTGTAAATAAAGAATGTATGTCTCTTGTGATGTGCTCATCATCACAGGGATCTGACCCCAAAATGGAAAAGTCTCAGGTCTGACTCATTTCATGAGGAAACAAATGCATACACATATCAGAGGAGGAACTGAGTTCCTCAGCTACTGTGATGTGCTTTATATCTTTTCTCCACAACTGACACTGGAACTGGTGATAGGCACCAAGACCAGTGGTATGCTCTTCTTTAGACTAGGAGCTGCAGACTATGTGGCTGAGAATTCTTTGTGTAGAGTACTCCATCAACCATTTCTCTGTGAAATTCTGAAGGAAATGTTTACAGCTTATCAAACCACCTTTCTGTTAACGACACAAGCAGGTATAATTTCATTTATAAAGTCTTAAGCAGAAAATCACAAGCTCGCAAAGTCTGTGTTTTGATCTCTACCACAGGTAATGTTCAGATGCTTCACACATCACGACAACCTCATCAAACACCTTAAGCAGACAAACTGATTAACCACATGCTTCAAGTCAAGTTGTGGTACTTCTCATCCCACTCACTACTGGGGACAAGCACAGGAATCTTTCACAAAACACTTCAGCCAGCGTTGTCATGTCAACCTGCAAGGAAAGTGCTTGCATCCATAATATATAACTTTATATTTACTGAGCTTGAAGCTCCAGAAGAAAGACTGTTTCACGCCTAAGGCAACACAGTTCTGGCAGTATCTATATGGGTAACATTCAAGACGAGAAGCAGAAGTAATCATGAACACAGGACATCTCTTCTTCCTCTACCATTAAGATATTACTGTTATATGTTATACACTTCAGTAGAAAACTGACAGATTCTGACATATTACAGTACACCTACTCACAAGACTTGCATTAATTTCTTTGTCCCCAAGTTCTTAGTGTCCACCCTTATCCTGACTTCTCTTCCCACTCAGGCTGAGCTGCTACCTAACTGCCCCATAAAATACCTGCCAGCAGTCTGCCGCACTACAAACTTGCAAACTGCAGTGCTTGGCCTCTTCCAGCTTGTTTAATTGTTTTTGGGCTTTTTGCTATAAATGATCCTCTGTAGCAGCTTGATTCAAGAACAAAGAAGAAAAGCTAGTCTTAAGGGACAGATACCACTGTTAGATTTTTTTTTAATAGAAGACCAACTACCAAAAAAGTGAAAACTTGCTATTCTTACACCACAGATGTCATTTACCTACAAATGCAGAGATGAGCAAAGAAATCTTTCACTAGATGGCACACAACTCTCACATGTCAGAAACACAAATCTCTGCAAGAAGGCATTAGTTTTAGTAGAAGGCATAGGTAAAATACTATTTGCTTTCAAACAGGTGTTTTTTTCACCTCCTTTTATTCTCAGAGAAGTAACTTGAAGATTGATCAGCTGTGCCATCCGCAGCAAGTCAGTCATTTCTGGTGTCAACAGTTTCACCTCCAGATTAGTGACTGTATAGCACCTTTATGCTCCTTTGATACTTACCCTAGGTATTATGTTGTGTAGAATCACATTACGGAACCAGGACCTTAATATTCACTCTTTTCAAAAGAAAAGGAGACACATAAATGCTTCTTGTGCAGGATAGGATGATTAAAATATGTAAGATGATGTTCTGGATAGTCATCTTGGTTTGTTTGGCATATAGAGAAAAAAATAGACAGGAAGAGGTCCTGCACAGTAGCAGGATTAGAAGAGGCACAAGAAAACAAACACATATATTTTAACTATAAAGAAAATGGTAGAAAGATGGTTTGTCCAAGCAGCATATATCCCATTTTAGGCAGACTTGGGCTTCTAACAATATCATGCATGAAAATAAGTCAAAAAGTGTCATTGCCAGTCAGGAATATGAAGTAGTTCTCTGAAGACCATGAGATTATCTGCAGGGGTTTACCAAACTCTTCACACAGAGCCAGTCACATTCAGGTCTTGGGGCTTGGTGAAGTTACAGGTAGTTGCAGCACCTACTCTCCTCACCAAAGACTGAACTACATCTCTGTACAGGCTTTCTTGTCTACTTTGAGAAGAGATTATGCTTAGCGTCCAACAGCCCTTCTTTAAAGGGCAAAAGCGTGATAGAACAATGTCCAGAAACTAATGACACTTTGAACATTTCACTTCACAACTCCTAGCACACAGTTTACTAAACACGTCTTATGCCAGTGATGACAAGAGTTTCTAGATGAAAAAGAAATTGCCAGAATACTGACAATGCAAGTTCTTTTCCAGTTTGACCAAGTGCTAGATCTCAACCTTTTTCTGGAATGTTTATATGGGAGATAAAAGAAAGGTTAGTCTCCTCAGCAGCACCAGTGAAACTATGCATCACCACCATTTCAGATGGCCAAGAACTTAATTTGTGTGAGGTTTTTTTCCGCTGCAGACAGCTTATTTTTCCTTGCCATAAGGAACTTACTTTTCCAGTTTGTGGGGGCAATTATTTGGATTTTAAATGAGACATCTGCTATTCGGAGGTTAGAGCAGTGACTGTAGAGAAGCACATATAGTAGCCTTCCTGCTCAAGTTTCAATTTGTGACGGAGAGGGCTGTCTGAGGTCAGGGCTGTCATGAACCAGCTTCATGTTCCTCTTGCCCAGTAAATACCAGTAAAAGAATTATTTATGGAGACAGCCAGTGCCTTTAGATATTATGTGTGGGGTTTAGCTCCTCCTCCCTTTTGAATTTACGCATTGCTTCTTGATTTAAGTGTCATCCATCTATATTTCTATTTAAAAACAAGATGAGCACTTCCATGTAACAAGAATGTACATACACACAGGTATGTACAGAACGATACGCACCTTAATCATGCATTTATAGTTTACATGATACATTAATAGGTTACCATTGCTAAGGATGTACTTATTACTATGCTGCAGAGTTGCTTGATCTTTAAGTCTATTTATACTTAACTCTTCACAGTTTTTAAGCTTCAGTGCAGGCTTCCAGTGAGAGAGTCTGCAAGAGTATTATACAGGAAAACAAAGATGCATGGTTCAGACCACAAAAATATGTGCTATATTATACATCATCAAGGTTGGGAAGGCTCCTGCTGGAGTTAAGATCCCAGCATTCCAGGTATTTCACATAATCACGGAGAAATACTGCCACTCTCCAATGCAAGCAGTTTAGAGGGAGAAGCAGAAAAACGTAAAAAGAAACATCCAAGATGACAAGGAGCCGCCTACCTCTGCTCCAGTCCATTGCATTACATGAGTTCTGTGCTGTAACACATAAGCCGTTAGCAAAAATCACAAGTGTAACTGAATTTTATATTGCTTTTTGGGCACTTACAGGATTATAAAGGTTTTTAATTTTGCTCACATTTCTTAGCAAAGAGAGGAATTGAAGACAACATTGAAAACCAGGGTTGCAGATTTCAAAGGCCAGCTGGCCAAGAGTTCTACAGCCACAGGTTCATTAAGACAAGTATTACTGGAAAACTGGTATCTTTGACAGTTGATTTCTGATGGTAAGTTTTGGATGTGGTTAGGGAACACAGTAAATAAGTCCCAATATTGTTCTTGGCCAGTCATGATAACCTATTGTTGGTAGAGACATTTGAGTGTCCTGGCACTCAGGAGATAGACTGTATTTCTTTAAAAATTTATAGAATATATGCAATTTGGGCTTGAACACTTCAGAGGTAACTCTAGAAGCTTGTGCACTTTAGGTTCTCTCTTAATTAGCCATGAAGCTAATGAAATGCTAATACAATCAAATGAAAAATCAATTTACCTTGCTGTGCTGCTCTTTCTACCAGCCATTTTTATTAGTATAGCAAAACTGTTATTTTAACTACGACTTCCAAGCAGAGTTCTGCTTAGGTCCATTTAAAATCTACAAAGAACAAAGGAAAATCAAGTTGTCCCCTGTCACAGTGAGGATTTTATTAGCTGTTCACATATCCTGAGTACATAAGAAAAACTTTAGTGAGAAAAGCACGTGTATGGGGGTTTGGATTTCTCAAAACATTTAAGGGCATTACTCACGACAGTCTGGTACAAGACATGCCACTGTAAATCAGAATTTAGTTACACATGCTTGCTAGTATGCCAATCCTTATGCAAGCACTGACAAAGCTAATTAAGGAAACAAATTTCTCTTGTGTACATGCTAGAACCAAATTGCCTTTGGAATAAAGCCAGGCACAACTTCACCATCCATACCATTCTCTGAGTCAAACTGCAGTTACTTCCCCAGTAATTTTGGTTTCATGGCTGTTAAAAAAAAATTAGGAATGACACAGATGTACTATTTCAAATGAGAATTTTAAACATTAGCCTGAATAAAGGAACAACCTGGTAATAGCTAAAACTTTCCTCACATTAAACTGCTTCTTAAACTTCACATTAATACAGATCTAAAAGGAAGGACCACTAAATAACAAAGTTGGTAAGTGCAAAATTTGGATTACAGGACAAACATTTTCAATCTTAGCTACAGCACTGCTAAATTCTCTCATAAGGAGTAAAATTCCCTGTTAACCTCAGCCTCCTGCCACATGAAAATAATCTCTGCCTGAGAAGAAACCATTCAAAACTGACAATGTTTTGGAAATGGGAATACATACACTCTTTGGCTGTACATAAGCACAAAACAAACAATGAGAAATCCTAGCAATGAGTGAGTCAAGCCACACAGAACACTGCAGAAAACAAGTCCCTTGTTTTTAACGTTCTTATTCTTATGCTGTTTCCACTCAAGTTGCTGGCAGGACCACATGCTAGGTTCTTTTATAGGTATGCAGAATCCTCAAGTCTGATGAATAAAAACTCCCTCTGCCTCTTCCAGAAAATGAAGACCTTCTCTTCAAGCTGAAATCTTAGTAAGCCAGGAAGGTACAGTAAAAGCAAGAACAGAGTTATTTGTGTCCTTTCAAGCCGATATTGGTAAGGCTTGGGTTTGTTTTTTTCTTAATGGTGAGAGGGCAATAGAAGTTGACCCTGACTCAGGTGTTTCAAATTAATTACTTTCAAACATCAGTTACCAAATATAAACATTCATACATTTTTTTTAATCTGTACTTCACATCAGCGGGCTGAATGCTAAAAACATCTTCTTCCTGGAAGAACGTGCATATATTCAAGAGACAACTCAGCAGGCCTCAGGATACCAACTCCATTCCTATTTAAGTTATATACTCGCCTCACTACTCACCAGCTCTCACTTCCAGCAATTCCTATCATTCTTCCTTTCAAATGTACTTCCATATCCTGTCAGCAACTCCAAGTTTACCTTCACATGGAGACCCAGCAGTAGCACTGACCACGCTCAAGGTTCTTTGCCCCAAAGCACAAGAGGATGGAGCAGACGGGACCACCAGAAAAGGGCAGTCTCTGGCACCCTTCAGCAGAGGGGGATCTGGGAAGCCACAGCCGCAACACCAAAGCTGCAGCGAGAAGGTTGTCCCAACCTACTGTGGTGGCACACTTCTACCCTCCAGGTAGCGCAGGTATCACCAATACAGGGGGCAAGAGGTGGATGGATGTCCTGCTTCCAGTATATACAATAGGAACATAAATAATATAAAAGAGCGCAGCACCAGATGTGTCCTTGGCCTCTTATTGCTGGCAGTGGTACCATCCCATTTTCTACCTTAATTCCCGAAATAAAAATACCTGTCTATAAAATGAGGGTATTCATTAGCCCTCACGATGACAACTGAGAAAATCTTACACTGTTCAGTTTGCTTCAACATCTCTCCAAGAGTTAAGCTACTTAAGCAACGTTATTTCACAGATAAAGAGAAATCTGAGTGACATTTGAAAAGCATTTAGAAAGTTTAGCGCTCTTAACTTTCAGGTTCTGAATTAATTGAACTGGAAGCTTAAGTAATTTCATTGGTTTTGACATTGCTGGTCTAAGTTATATGCTGAAGGAAGTTGTGTGCTAAGCCAGAATGTGATTAAGAGAGGACTGAACCAGGATCTCCCAAGCTAAGAAAAGCGCAGAAAAGAATGTTCAAGTTACCAATACGACTCAAAACATACTTTATTAGAACAACAAGATTCATGGACAGGAAAATTATACTTACAAGAAAACCCAGTGGCAAAGAAAAATCTTATTACTACTGAAATTAAATTCATCATCGAATTTTGTATTTTTGGTTAAAGTTCTGAATAATTATGTATCCATGATATAGAAATATTAACATAGTAGTTTAGTATTTCCGTAACAACCAGGTGTACCTGCAGTGTCAGTTTTCATGGTCATGTTTGTATATTCAGTAGTTTCTTCACAGATTCCTTATACTGAGACATGTTATCTTCTGTTTCACCTTCATTTTTAAGGGCAATTACAGAATTTCTGTAATTCTTAACCACTTCAGATGCAAGAAGCTCTTCCTCAGTTACATTACTGACATTCTCTGAGGCTTTTATTCGAAGTAATGTATCCAAGGCGTTTTTCTGCGAGCAGCTGTTTTCCCAGATATATTCTTCCATGTCTTCCTCAGTCTTCTCACTCTCCCACATCTCAGTTTTCTGAAAGAAAACACACATTGTATTAAAAACTCCTCAGGATTGAAACAAAGCTACAATAATTTGAAGAAACTTATCTCCCATGCCACTTCACTTCAAAAATTACATTCGCTGTGGGAGATATTTCCCCTCCCTTAAAGTAGAAGGCTTGTAACTCTAGCCTCAGAGTTCAAAGGGTGCCTGTATGCCACACATTTTCTATACATAATGAGTTTCTTTCACTTACCAAGTTCTTTATGTGTCTGGCAGATATAACTAGATGAGTCAGAATGGGAAGAAAAGCTTACAGACTACACATAATGAATAACAAAAAGACCTTGTAAAAGTAATAATTTTAACTAAATGCTCAAGATTTGGAAGTAGCCACCTAGCTATTTTGTCTCCGGCATATGATTTTAGTATGTTTACATTGGCTATAAGATGCAAAGTGAGACAGCTCATACCAAGTAACCTATGATGAGGGACAGCAACCCTTCACACCCTTTGGGAAATGTCTAAATTGTGACTCATAAGGTAAAGCACCACCAGTTAATCCACGTCCTCTTCCTGCAAAACAAACTGCTCCTCAGAAGAATCTCTGTCCACAAGCTGCTAATTTTTACCTCATTAGTGTTGCAAGATTAGACAGGATCAGAAGTTGAACATGGACAGAAGACATCACCCCAGGGCCTGTAAATACTTGGCTTGTGCAGTTGTTCCTTAAAATTTTTGTCTTTGAACATTTCTTCAATTCATCAGGCCTTTCTTTAGCTTCACACACTGCTTAAGGACTACTTCAAATGTTATAACCTGCTTTGGCAAACGTATTTGCCTTGTAAATATATTTGCATTTTTATATATTGTAGATTGTATAGTTATTTGTATATTTAGTACCTTACTGATTTAAGCAACACATAGTACCCTTATATTATTTCCAGTATATAAAAATCACAATTTGAAGTATTTCTGGTTTATCTCTGGCGGTCATGTTTTTCTTAACAATTGTTGTAGAAATCATTTCTAAGTAAAGCTTACATTTCTCCAGGAGTAAGTTCAAAGAAATGTTATAGTAAAGCACTTACATAATATGGATTGTTATATATTTATTTCTTTGCCAGAAAGGGCTCTTCAGTAAACTTTTAAGTATGCCACACAGAATCCAAATAAACCTTCCAATCACAGGAAGGTTGGGAGGTTTCTGTAGGGTTTTTTTATTGTTTGCTCTTTGTTTGTTTCTGGGGGTTTTTTTTGGCAGGGAGAGGAGGGTGGAGTGGGTGTTGTTGGTTTTTCATGCTATTTAAAAGTATTCTGTCCAATAGTTAACAAGGTTGCTGCAGTCAAACCACAATAATTAATAACCTTTAATTAAAACCCAAGTTTTTTTTCTCCCTACAACCCTATGTGCTTGGACTGTCTATCTGAATTTAAAAACACTTTAACAGAAGCTGCATCCTGCACCTGGTAAATAGAATCTCCTATCTTTTAAATCTCTGAGTCCAAATGTTTAGTCAGAAACAGTCATTAACACAGCTAAAAGGCTCATGTGACTGACATTAAAACCTGGACACAATACAACACAGAAGGGAAAAGAACCATATTCAATTTCCAGTGGGGGGTGGAAATAAAAAAGCACACACTGTAGCCTCAGCCTGTATTACTAAAACAGTAGCAGAACAAGTGGGTATACTAAAGTATTCCTTATATGTTTGAAAAATACTGCAATCTAAGGCGGAGACTTAGATAATATTAAATTAACAATAACCTGTTTTACATAACCCTTGTTTACCCACATAATGGCTATCCAAGACATTTTTTTCCTACACTCCAAAAGAATTTTAAAGCACAAGCTTCTCTCACAGGGGTAGAGTTTCCCAAAAGAGAGTGAATATGGGTATCGTCCCTGGTCAATCCCCAGATCAAACTCAGGTTTGAAATTCAGACAGAAGATCACTGTGAGGCTTTTAAACACCTTTAAGTTGTAACAGATGTAACAAGAACTAATTGCAGTTATTAGACTTATCTCTTCAGGAAAATCGTTCTCTGCACACATTAGCTTATAGGATTTTGGAGATGCACAGCGATAAACAGATTAAGATTCCCCTATCTCTTTTGAGCGACACAGAGCAAGAAGATTTTAAAGGAGGCCAAAGAAGCTGTTAAGTATTCCTTTCTTGGAATCCTTCCCAGCAGAACGCTGTGTGAAAACAGATTTTAAAATAAAATCTGACTTCTGGTGGGGAGTGAGGCAGGAAGAGATTTGACTGTAGGGGAAGATTTCAAATTCTGTGCCTCAGCCCTGTTACGAGACACCAGTATCCATTGCTGCAGTGTTGGTGGCCATGCCTTGAAATGAAAAGTTATCCTACTCTACACGGGTCCAGACATACATTACAAACAGGAAACTGAACAGAAACCAGATTTTTGCAAATTGACTGTACAGACTGAAACTTAAATGCCTCCAAGCAGATTTATTGCAAGTGAAAAAGTGAATCTGGAATCGTATTTTCAGTTGAAAAAGTCCCCTAGGTAGACAAGCATCCATGAACCCTGAGTAGGGGAAATGTTACAAGCATCATAGCCTCAGTTTGAAGTGCTATGAAGAAAATTAAGGACAGTGAAAGAATTTCAGAAATAAGGTCTTCACCATTCAAAGTTAGTTAACTACTTTTGTCCCCTATAAATTTAAAATGTTAATAAACATTTCAGTCTGAGTCTTGCAAATTATAATAAAATCAAGAAAACTGGAATACAAGCGTGGCATCGTGTGACATTTTTCTAGAGTCTCCACTTACTGAATGAGGTTAAAAATCAAGAATGGGTATTTCTTCAACGAATTCACTAAAAATGACTTCTTCATTCTACTACATGCAGGACAGAATCTCAGTTAGTATTAACCAGCCTGGCTGAAGATGCACTCAGCTGATAATTGCTACTGTTTCTTTCATGCAAAACTTGGAAGAAGTAAAAAAAAAACCCACAACAAAAAACCCAAAAAACAATCAACCAAACTAACAACTAAAAAAAACAAATCACCCATTGCAAAACAGCTTTCCAGATAAAGTATCTAAACCTATTACTAAAGAGGCACAGAACAATATTTTTTATTGTTTTTTAGTATTTCCTAACACAAACTGAACTAACTTTTAATGCCATAAACAGAGTAAGATTTGTTTCTAAGCAAATCTTTTATGCTACGGTTTAAACCAGTATTTTGGGAAGTTTAGAAGCCTTTACAGTGCTTAGTTTGAAGTACTGAAACAGCATAAATACTAAAATAGTACACTCTAGTGAAATTGCTTTCAGCATAAAATGTTTTAACAAAAAGCTTCAATTTATATTGTACCTTTTAAGTACAGAAGAAAGGAAAGCATTTTTGATCACTTATGGATGTCGCCATTGGTTTTTTGTTTGTTTTTTCCTGCCAGTTTAACTTACATAATTTTGTTGTCACAGCAATATGGAAGAGGATTAGAATCGTCAGTTCTCTGGTGTTTCCTTTGGGGAAAACATTTTAAGTAGAATTTATATGTGGCACACAGAAACCTTCGAGGCAATTAAAAACATGAGTCATTTCAGTCAATTTTCTTGTCAATAGTTTTAACAGATAAAAATTTAATGCTGTTTAGCAAAGATCAAGTATTTTAGTGGGATTTTTTTTTTTTTTGAGGGGAAGGAAAGTTCTCCAAGTAGCAGGTAGTACTGCACTGAAACAAAAAATATTCTGTGTGGTACAATAATCACAGATTTTCAGGCAATAAATGACAATTATGCTAGCATTTTCCAAATTTATGAGTACTTTCAATCCAAAGAGGAGCTGCCAAAACAACTATGTACTTATCTCTCTGGATATCTCATAACATTGAACTGTACTATTTAGTTGGCAGATGAGGCCTCTAGAGCGTCAAGGAAAATCAGGAGAAAGACTGTGAGGACTAAATATTCCAGTAAGGTACAAATCTAAACCAGAAAAGGAGAGTAAGCAGAGAATAAAGAACTTTGCCTCCAAAGACTACACTAGATGTAAGAGATCCTCTCATACTTAACGGTACTCACAGGCTTAATCTCTGGTTCTGTCACTAACTTGAGTGCTCAGACATCACCATTACCTAGATCACCTCTTTCTAAAATGAGGACAACACCTAATTTCTCTGGGCTGAAGTTGCTGCATGCATTTTCTGGGAAAATCTAGATTTCTAAAGTGGTCATTTGTAATGTATTTAACTTTGTTTTCTGAATACTGATCATATAATATTCTGATCTCATAAAAAAAAAATCAGCATTGTTAAGTGTGCGAATCCTTGATGACTTCCTGTTCATTTTGTTTATACCCCTGCCCCATAAGACTTCATTTCACTCCAACATTTAGAATGAAAATTGAACAGCTGTAAAAATTATATTTATGCATTGAAAAGGAGGCTTGTTTCTCCAGCAACTAGAAACATGGGTCTTAAACATAAGGTATTGCTTGTTAGCAAAACTCCCTTTGATTTTAAAATGTTTGAATTCAAGCTTTCAGGAAAAACAAGTTTATTAAATATATCATCTACTATGCCATTTAACTTTACCTTTTCTGACTCACGTTAACAATGAAGACTCTTTCAAGCTGTTAGAAATTAAGCAATGGTGACTGCACAATGAAATATAATACATACTTCAAAACAAAGTATATATTACAACATTTAAAGACCACTCAGCCTCAGTTTGCATTACTCAAATCATATCTGATGAGAAAGAACACTATTGTAGGAAGAGCACAATTATATCACACTTCATTATTCTGAGATCTCAAAGTCAGGAGATTTACACCAAGCAGTCTCCAGTTATAATATATGGTGATCAGAGCTCTAAACTCATGTCTCCCAGGTACATGCTCTAATCACTACACTATGGCCCTCCTTCTCAATTCGAAGAATCTTCAGGTTTTTTCTGCCAAGGAAGAAAGTTTCAGCAAGACTTCAGAGTATTTCCCTCCACCTCCCATTTTAATCCTATAAGCTATTTGATAACATTCTGAGTGTTCAGAA